CACGTAAATCCAGTGCGCAACAGCGCATTGCGCAAAACTTTATTCGCTGTCCTCCACGATAACGTCCACCTTTCCATATTTTTGGTTTGAACACCAACGCATCGACATGTGAGGGAAGGAGGCTTGACCGCTTTCGGGTGACAGTGTTGCCTGCCAGGGAAAAAACCCTCTCACTCGGGGTGCTTGTGGCTGGAATAGCCAGGTAGCTCCTCGAAAGCGGGGGAAGCGGTGCACGTTTTCTGCCCACCACTCCAGTGGATTATCCATTGTGGGGATATGCGGTGTCCGCTGGCAGTAATCCCGTAGCTCATCATCCGCATCACTGTTGACCCGTGTTTTCTTGCTGTTCGTTTGCCTCAGTTCAGTGCTGACGCCGGTCCGTTGCTCACTGGTGCTAGCATTAATGCTAGTGCTAGCTGTCGGCAGCGGGTGTTTCATCTTTAGATGGTTGCGCATAGCAGATGCATTTGTATTGTACTTCAGTACAGCTGTACACAACTGACACTTCACTGTGGAGTTGGTTACATCTTCGTTGAAGTACTGCCATACATAAGAATGTCGGACGTGTTTTGTAGCATTTTGCAGCACCTCGTTTACCTCCATTTTTTTCACGACAAGTCGACTAGGGCCTACAGCGCCGACTAGTGGTAAAGGTAGTCGACTAGTCGACTAGTCGATTAGTTGGTGAAACCCCTATCAGGCACAGTGATTTACTATGCTCCATGCACAACTCACTTACTGTAGGGCTATATTTGGTATTATAATTGTAATAGTGTCTGAACGTAATAAGATTATGCTCTGTTGGACTAATTGAATCTCATGTTAGGGATTGCATTAGTAAGGAGGTAATTAATAACGTCTAACAGATTGAGTGAAGCCTGATGCTTCGTAATGGAGCATTTCAACTGATAGCAGCTCTGAGTCTGTGTCTGTGGCGCCACACTGACGCCTGGTTGAAGACAAGACTGATTCAAGCAGCCTCCAAATATCCTTGAAAACATTACGACAGCCACTCGGAATGAATGTAGAATTAGGTAAAAATAATAAAAGGGGCTGAAGATAAATCAACGTGGAAATGATTGGTGAGGATGAATTAATCATTCATGAGTTGGAGATGGGCCTAAAGCAGTTAACTAAGTTGGAATACACTCCCTCCCTCCCCCTGTTCCTGCAGCAAGACATGGCTGCGATGCTAAGTGTGTAATTTCTCTCTAACTGGCGGCCCCTGTCGTCTCTGTTGTCTGGTTACCAGTCCCAGCGGGAGGCCGGCTCTGAGCCTCTTCAGTGTCTACTTTTGTGTCACTCCGTACACTTCCCGCTGCCTTCCCCTTTTCTGAGCCATAACTTCACACAATGTGTAAAGAAGATGATGTCTTTAAAACTATACGTTGGCCTTATTTGTGAACTAAAGTGTCAACTGCTCACTATGCTGTACCTACAGAGGCTACATGCATACACTCTGAGGTCATGCCGTAGGCTAAATTGTAGCTGAAGAACACATTAATAATAATCCATATTTCAAAAGACAAGCATCCCCGGTGGTAAGTTATATCAGCTATCACTACCATATAAACTACAGCTGGAACAAGAATCCACCTTATTTAGACATTTGAAGAACAGACACATTTAACTTAACAATCACAATTTTGGTACCTTTTTACGTACGCTTACGCTTATTCATATTTTTTGCATTATGTTACTAGATAATGTACTTGTTACTATGGAAGCCTGTTTGCACCACAGGAAAAAAAAAGATATTGACTTACTATCTCAATATATTGACTTAGCTATCTCAATTTATTGACTTAGCTATCTATATATTGAATTAGCTATCTAATATATTGAGATAGTAAGTCAATATATTGACCATGCCTCTGTAGAATCCACTCCTACAAAGAATGCCAAAGACAATATAGCACATTAATGTGACAATAAAGGTAAGGAATATAGCACCAGAATAGCATTATGAATTTTAAAAACACAAGAAACACAATTTTCCAGCTAAAATGACCTTACTCCAGTCTGCACCATCCTATTTGGTACAGGCTTGGTGAAGACCATGGAGTTTATGGGCCCTGACTTCACACCCTTAAGGAAAAGACTCAGTTAGTTGAGTCACTTTAAAACAAAAACTCTATGAAAGATTACAAATATTTGAACCTCATTGAAATTACCATTGTTCGCGGCTTGTGCCATTGCTGTTCCGATTCAGTAAGTAAATAAGTAAGTAAGTAAAACTTTATTTATATAGCACCCTTCTCAACACGGATGTTCAAAGTGCTTTACAGTACAGTACACAGGACACAATTCAAAATACAACTATAAAATGTAGAATAAAAATGCATAAAACAGCAGCAGTAATACATAGGATAAAACATACGATAAAACACCAATAAAAAAGACAGCCACTAACTCACCTCCAAAGGCCTGTCGGAATAGGTGGGTCTTTAACTGCCCCTTAAAAATCTCTATTGAGGCTGAGGTTTTTATTATCTGGGGGAGTTTGTTCCAAAACCTTGGGGCCACCACCTCAAAGACACGGTCCCCCTTAGTCTTTAGCCTGGTTCGAGGCCTTGTTCAGAGGACCTCAGGTCCCGGTTTATGGTGTGAGGGTGGATCAGGTCATTGATGTAGGCTGGGTGGGGCTTGGCTATGGACAGCTCTATATGTGAAGACCAATACTTTGAATTGGATTCTGAGATGGACAGGGAGCCAGTGCAGGGCAGAAAGAATCGGAGTGATGTGGCATGTTTTTTTGGACCGAGTGAGTAATCTGGCTGCAGCATTTTGGACCTGTTGTAACCGGTTTATTGATGTTTTGTTGAGGCAGGAGAACAGAGCATTACAATAATCAAG